CAATGCCTCGGGCAACTCGCTAAAACTTAAAATGCAGAACAGGTGCAGATGGAAAGCAATTTCCAAACTGGGAGATCCCCTGCCAATTCATTCACAGATCCAATTCTATCTCCTCCCTGCCCCTCCCCACCTTCATCTTATTTAATTTAACCCAGTGTTATAAACCGTTGACCTAGTTTTGGATCCCAGCTTAGTCATCCAGGGAGTAAATTACCCCACCTCCCTCCCTGCTTTGGGGGCATCTACAAATTCAATGAGCATTCCACATATGTCTGTATCTAATTCACTGACAGAAATATCAACAGCTCAAGAGCGGAAATGACCCCCAGGCACTCTACTAGACTTTGCAATCCAGGGTTATATTGAACCATTAATGATTATTCTTTAAGACTTGCTACTCGACCAGTTCTGAATCCACCTGAGTGTATTATCATCTAGACCACATCCCCCGATCTTTTCTTCAAGAATAGCGCAGCGTTGCATTAGAGAGAGTAGTACATAAGTAATCAGGAAGACTTGAGCTCAAATCTAGCCTCAGACCCTTGCTAGCTGTGTGGCTTTAGGTGACTCACTTAACCTCTCTGTCCCTCAGTTTACTCATCTGTAAAATGAGGATAATAATAGCACCTCCCTCCCAGGGTTGTTGTGCAGATAAAATGAGATAATATTTATAAAGTGCTATGTAAATGTCAATTAATATGATTTTGTCAAATCATTTGCTAAAATCTAGGTACATAATATCTTCAACACCCCCTTTATCTACCAGCATGATCACCCTGCCAAAAAAGGAAACGAGTTTAGACTGGCAAGACCAGGTCTTAATGAAATCATACTGACTTTTTGTGATCCCTTTGATAACAAGGTTTAGAATTTTGCCAGGAAGAGGGCAAGCATTATTGTCTGGTCTATAGTTTGTGGATTCTGTTCTCTTCCTTTCTTTTTGAGATCATAATATTTGTCCTCCTCGAGTCCTAGTATATCTCTCCTGCTCACCATGGTCTTTCCAAAATGAAACACGCCAAAATGATTATTTCAAACAGCCCATCCAGGGACCCCATTTCTGGGAAGTCAGCAGGGCGACATCTGCATCTTATCCCCAAGGGCTTGTTTTTAAGCCATCCTACTCACCAAGGGCCAGCATGAAGAGTGGATCCATGGGGGATAAGAGAAGAGATCAGACAAATTCAAAGTAGGGGCTGCCCACACCAGCACCAGAAAGCAAGTAAGGGGACCTGCATCCCCAAATAAAGTGAATTAGAAAAAGAGAAGTAGAGGAGACCTGCTTCTCTACTAAGCATGTTAATGATCATGCTGATCAGTACTTCCTCAAGGCTGGGACAGACTCTCTTTTCTCAACTCAACCTTTTTAATAAAAAAAAAAAGCTATTTGAATAAATCTGGTCTATGTGGTCCCTAAAGACCTCAGTGCCATATCTGAGCTGTCTTGGATCCTTCAGCTTCTCTCTCCAAGGAGTTTTCCCAGTCCACTATTTCTGGGTCTAGGCACAGGACCAGCCTAGGGTCCATATAGGTGTCACATCATAAGTCCTGTACCACTCAATTAGAATCCCAGGGTCTTAGAGAAGGAAGGAACTCTAGAGGCCATTTAGTACAACACTCCACACTCCATGTCAGAATCCCTCTTATAGAGTCCTTGAAAAGTGGTCACCTGGCTTCTGCTTAAATCATTTCAGTTCTCTTTCACACAAATTCTTTCAGAGGTAGCAAAGAACTGAAAACTGAGGGGAGCACTCATTAATTGAGAAAGGACTGAATAAATGATATAGAAAAACAATGGAATACCTTTGTGCTCTAAAGAATGATGAGGGGTATAGTTTCAGAGAAACCTGGGAAGACCTACATGGCCTGATGCAGAGTGAAGTGAGCACAATTTACACAATAGCAACAACTTTGAAAGACTTAAAAACTCTGATCAGCACAATGGCCAACCATGATTTCAGGGGACTGAAAATAAAGAATGCTATCAACCTCCCAAGAGAGGTGATAAACTTGGGATGCAGAATGAGAGAGAGATGAAGATAATTACAGATATATAGCTATATATCTATATCTGTGTGTGTATACATATATATATGGAGAGAGAGAGAGAGAGAGAGAGAGAGAGAGAGAGAGAGAGAGAGAGAGAGAATACCAGTCCTCTGGCATAAAGGAGTCTCTCTTGGGAGGATGTAGGGCTCCCCTATTGACCCCTACTTTCTACAAGTGGACTCCCATATACTTCCCCAATGTATGTGTAGCTGCTAATAGGTTAAGTCCTTGGCTGAGTATCCAGTTTATGTCCAAGGAGAGGCTCATGGGCCAGCCAGAGATGTTGGGGAAAACAACCCCTTAATGAGTTTAGGTGCTGACAGAAGCATGTTTTATAATGAGTGTCTTTTCAATGCAAAGCTTTATTGGGAGCAATAGAGGAGATGGGGGAAAGTGAGAGAAAAGAAAATGGAGCCCACATACAACTCAGCAAACACACTGACATAGAGCATGTAACTCATGCAAGGGCAGTGCTGTGTTGGGGTGCACAGAGACAGAGATCCACTCAGCAGGAAGGGGGTGCTCCAACAGGGAAGTGTGCCCCAGGAGGGGAGGTGATGCTCCCAGTAGCGGGGAGTATATGCTCCAAAGTATCCTTAGGAGTGTGGGGTTCTCATACTCTGGTTTTGAGTGGCTCCCCTAAAGCTGGTGAAGTTGCATATCAGGGGTTAGGGCAAAATAATGTTTTGGAGCGTTTGTCATCAGGGAAAAAAAACAAGCTGACGCCAGATAATATATTATTTGGATGATACAGCTGTACTAATCTTTGAAAACTATTATTATCAGTATTTTCCCGTGAGTAAGTTCTATAAGCTTACAGCCTCCCTTAAGGGCAGACTGCCATGGTAGCCTCGAAACCATCGGGCCTAATATCAAGACTACCAGATCTAATCTTATAACAGATAAAGACAGACAGAGACGAAGAGAAGATCTAGATATAGGTATACATTTAGGTATAGATTTGGGGGCATGGCCAATGCAAGAATTTGTTTTGTTTGGCTATGTGTGTTACATCATATAGTAATTTTATGTCTATAGAACGATATGTAGTGTTTAGCACCAACTGTTTTCAGGTCCCGTTATGGATCAGTTAGTGTCTAATATACCACATCACATGTAAATAGCTCCAATTTATCCCATTGTCTCAAAAGTAAAGTACCTTCTAGGGGATGGAATTTGAGTCCTTTAGCTTCACTATTTCAGCTTGTATTGCTTCCCAAAGTCCTTCATCAACCATCTGCTCTCACTTTCAGTCACCTGAAGCAAAGAGAGTTGGTTGGTACATTAAAACAAGTTTTACATACCCTGCTAGCATCCTATCCAATAGAAAACCCAAACTCTAAGCCTCACTTCCATTTTGTTGTGGCCCAGCTCCTTCAGTATCATTTATGACCTTCACTACATTCTTAAGTTTCACCATAGCTTCAGTGATCCTTGGGATAGAGTATCTGCATCCACATTAGGCTTTCTTGGCTGTCTCTACGTGATGAATTCATAGCTTGCTAGTGATACTCCCTACCTCTGGCAAGCAGTTTTGAACTTGGGAGTGGCCAAAATGTGACAACGGCGTATTCTTAAAAATGGAACTACAGCCCTAGCAAGAAATATATTGAAATGGTTGGCTCAATATGGCAGCAGACGTCATTAAGAAGGGTGAAATTGGTTCAGTGTGTTCAAAGAAAACTACTACCAACTCATGACACACATTTGGAAAATATAAGCACTAGCAAACCTTGGATACTTTTTGTCATTGACATTTTGACTCTTAAAAAAAATGTGGTAAAATATAGTCTCTCTCAACTATGTGTCATCTTCAAATTTGATGAGCATGTCATCTATCCAAGTCATTGACAAAAATGTCAGACAGCAAAAGGTCAAAACATCCCTGGAGAACTCTACTGGAGACCATCTAATTTTATTTAGTTATTATTTATTTATTAATATTTGTCCCTCTTCACCACAAGAATAATGTGAGATACTTTAATAAATACTTTGCTCAAACATTTAGTAAATTGTATCTAAATGTACCCCCAAAGAGATAGAAATAAAGGGAGAAGAACATATTTGTACAAAAATATTTATAGCAGCTCTTTTTGTGGTGGCTAAGAATTGGAAATTGAGGGGATGCCCATCAATTGGGGAATGGCTGAACAAGTTTTGGTGTATGATTTTAATGGCATATCATTAAGCTATAAGAAATGACAAGCAAGGTAATTTCAGAAAAACCTGGAAAGACTTACATGAATTGTTAGAAAGTGAACTGAGCAGAACCAGGAGAACATTATATATAGTAACAGCAATATTATATGATGAAGAACTGTGAATAATTTAGCTATTCTCAGCAATACAACTATCCAAGACAATTCCAAAAGATTTATGATGAAAAATGCTATCTGCCTCCAGAGGAAGAACTGATATTGTTTGAATATAGACTGAAGCATGCTATTTTTTACTTTCTTTTTCTTTCTTTCTTTCTTTCTTTCTTTCTTTCTTTCTTTCTGATGGAGTCTTCTTGCACAAAATGACTAACATGGAAATGTTTAACATGATTGCATATGTATAATCTATATCAGATTGCTTACCATCTCTGAGAGGGAAGAGGAAAGAGAGGGAGGAATAGACTTTGGAACTCAAAACTTAAAAAACAAAAATTGTTTTACATGTAATTGAAGGGAAATAAAATATTATTTAAAAATAATAAATTATATCTAGAATATTCCACATCACAATTTAATAACCCTGTAGTGATGCTAAGGGGTGTGGTTGGATATATAGTTGAGGGTAGAGTTTAGGGCTTCTTTCCTTTGAGTCAACGTTTCTGCCACCCTATGTTGTCTGTCTCTCTGGGAAAATATTGTTACTTTCAGTTATCTGATTTCTTAGGCCTTTTGCATAAAATAAACATATGGGACTCCACTTCCCCAGACCAGTAGCAGCTGCTTTCTTGACAACATTGTGTGAAACTGTCCCCATTTTCAACTCTGCCTGTGTCAGACATAGCAGGAACAGAACAGAGGGAACAGAATTCTTGCATACAACAAGGGCTTAATGAAGGTTTGTTGAGTTAAATCAATGGCACTTGCTCTGAATTCCATCTTGTTTCTTTTCTTCCCTAGCCGTTTCCTTGGAAGAAAGCATTGTTTTTTGGTTTTTTGGTTTTTGGTTTTTGGTTTTTGTTTTTACCTCTGCCTTGCCCTGCCCTGCTCTGCTCCCAAATTCATTGCATCTCTCTTATTTTTGATACAACTTCTGGTTCTCCACAAAGTTGCAGATGCGTCAGAGTAGAGTTTTTCAAACTGTGGGGACCTAAGTGGTAGAAAGGAAACTCCAACCCAGGTCTCTTGGGAGTTGATAATCTATCCACTACACCACCTGTGGCTGGACGGATATACTGTCTCTGTGGTTCCTTTAGGGGCTAGTAGTTTTTGACCTTATGAAAATGAAGAGTGCTGCCTTCTGAGACCTTAAACAAAGGTTTCAGACTAGGACTCTTTAATTAACTAAAGAAAATTTTCTGCCTTTGCCAGTGCCCAACTCTCTATCCTCCATCTTCCTTGACCAGGCAAGGGTTAAGCTGTCCTTACCCCTTTGCGTGCTTCCTGTGTAGGACTAGAAGGCCTGATTTGCCGAGAGCAGGGATGGGCAACCTGTGGCCTTCAGCCATAGTGTCCTTCTAGGTCCTGAAGTGCATCCTTTTAACCAAATCCAAATTTTACAGAACAAATATTTGTTCTCCACCACTGGCCTAGAGGTGCATAAATGATTTTCGTGTATCAGGACAGATGTGAGTTGTTTTAAGGTGTGGGAGAGGGGATTATACACTAAAGGCATCAAGCATTTGCATATGTGAAGGTGAAGATGACTTTAGTAATACAAATAAATTATACAGAATATAACTGAACCCCAGTCTGGTACCAGGGAGAGTTGGAACAACGTTTTTGAGAGACAGACCAAAGCTAGGAGAATATGACAAATAATGAGACAAAGAGATTATGGAAATCAAACTGTTTCCTTTTAGAGAAAGGAAGAGGAAAGAAAAGGGAAGTCAATCAGAAGGGAGGAAATGCTAATTAGCACCAAAGAAGTATTGTCTTACTTCCCTTTTTTAACTAAGATAGCCACCTCTCCTCTGAGAAACTGTTTCCAAACCTTTGTCCTCATGTACACATTTCTGTTTCAAGGATCAGGGGTGAACCTGTTTGCTACTGAAAGAACATTTCCCTCCCAGTCTCTCTTGGACCTTCTCCTCACGCTCCTGTGGGCATCGATGCTGGTAATTGGTAAGTTGGATTTTCAGAGTGGGATCTGGGCTATGGCAGAAACAAAGCCCTCTGCAACCTGAGACCTCTGAGTCAATCTCAGAGAAGAAATTCTTGCCCTGGACAGCCTGGGATAGTAAAATAATAGTTCATATTTCTTTCTTTTTGTTTTTTATTCAAACAAGTTTAACAACCATTGGCTTTACATTACAAGGAATTTTTTTAGGAAAACTTTCAATTCCCCACTCTCCCCTGCTCTAGATTGAACTCTTTTTTGTTTAAAAAAAAATTAAGCAACAAGTGATGAAAGACAAAATTTGACAATATATTCAACATTCTGCCCTAGTTGTCCCCTGTATCTCATCATAAGGAGGGTGGTATGTTTTATGATCTATCCTCTAGGATAATTATTAAGTTTTTTTGGTTATGCAGGTCTCAGCTTCCTGGTAGTAATATTTTGGTTTGTTTTTTTTTTCAGGCAATTGGGGTTAGGTGACTTGCCCAGGACTTGCTCAGGTCCTCCTGATTTCAGGGCTGGTGCTGTATCCACCGCGCCACCTAGCTGCCCCCTGCTAGTAATATTTTGAACAAACAAGGTGTATCAGTCTTTGGGTTCAGCATATTTCACTCTGCATAAATTCATGCAAATTTTCCTATGTTTCTCTAACAATAATAACAGCTAACATTTATATAGTACCTACTATATGCCAGGTATAGGACATATAGTAGGTATATATAGGTTAGGTATAATAGGGCAGGTAGGTGGCACAGTGATAGAGTGCCAGGCATCAGGATGACTCACCTTCATGAGTTCAAATGTGGTCTCAGATACTTCCTAGCTGTGTGACCCTGGGCAAGTCATTTAACCCTGTTTGTCTCAGTTTCCTCATCTCAAAAATGAGCTTAAGAAGGAAATGGAAAATCACCTGGGTATCTTTGCCAAGAAAACCCCCAAATGAGATCATGAAGGGTAGGACACAACTGAAATGACTGAACAACAACACTAAATTGCAGGTACTCTGCTAAGCACTTTACAATTATTATCTCATTTGACTTTTACAACCGTAGGAGGTAGGTGCTGTTATTATCCCTATTTTACAGTAGAGAACACTGAGGAAAGGACTGATTAAGTGACTTGACTAGGGTGACACAACTGTGTGTGTGTGTGAAGCCAGATTTGAACCCAAATCTTGTTGACTCCAGGCCTAGTGCTCTATCCATTGTACCACCTTGCTCTAAACTCATATTCATCATTTCTTTTTTTATTTCTTTTTCTGTTACATTTTAAGTTCCAAATCATCTCCCTCACTCACTCACCACCCTGCACTAGAGAAGGCCTCCATTTAACACAGATATATATATAAAAATATGTAAAACCATAATATACATACTTCTATTTATCAGTTCTTTCTCTGGAGGTGGGTAACATCTTCATTTAAAATAGATCCTTTGTAGAAATCAATCATTTCTTATTGAATCATAATATTCCATCATATTCATATCTTGGACCTAAGCTGAATGGACTCTCAGAGACCACCTCGTCCCACCTCCTCATTTTTTACATGCAAAAACTGAGGCCCATCAAAGTGACTTGCCCAAGATTACCCAGGTAATAAGTATCAGATATAGGATTTGAATCCAAGACCTCTGACTCCAGAGCCTGTGCTCTTTCCACTAAACCATTCTCCCTTATGGCATAGTTTATTTCATCCTTCCTTAATCAATGGACATTCACTTTGTTTCTTGTTCTTGGCCGTGATTATTTTGGAATATATTTAGGGTGTTTGTTTCTGGATTTTTTCCATCTTTAGAAAACATACCTCTAGTGAGATTACTGGGCAAAAAAGTATAAATAATGTAGTAACTTTTTTGATATAATTTCCAAACCAATGACCAGAATGGTTGTACAAAGTCATAGCTCCACCCACAGGCATGTGATCCTTTCTTCCCACCGCTCTGCCAAAATTAACTATTCATTTTTGTTACCTTTGCTACTCTGATGGGTGAAATGAAACCTCAGATAATTTTCCTTACTATTAGAGATTTAAAGCATGTTTTGCTTTGTAATATTTATCACTTATCATTTGCATTTCTTCTTTAGAGACCTTTTGGCCACTTATATATTGGGGAGTGACTTGATCTAATATACTTCTGCCGATTCCCTACATAGTTTTGAGATCAGACTATAATGAGTGATAGTTGATACATATATTTTCCTACCTGACAGTTCGTCTTATTATATTTTTATTTTATTTTTGTAAAAGTTTTTAAATTTCATGTAATCAAAACTATCTTTTTCATCTTTTGTGGTCACCTCCATCCCTTATTTGGTTGAGAAATATGCCTTTAATCATTGATATGAGAGGTAACTCATCCTGTTAGCCATTGTAACTTATGATATCACATTTTATATTCAGACCACATATTCATTTGGAGCTTATTATGTTTTGTGACATGAGATGATAATCTAAATCTCTCTTTTTTTGGGGGGCGACCCTATTTGGGTTTTTGTTTTTGTTTTGGGGTTTTATTGGGGGAGGGGGCAAAGATCCTAGAGTGGTTTGCCATTTTCTTCTCCAGCTCATTTTACAGATGAGGAAACTGAGGCAAACAGTGTTAAATGCCTTGCCCAGGGTCACACAGCTAGAAAGTGTCTGAGGCTGGATTTGAACACATGAAGTGTCTTCCTGACTACAAAGCCTGGCACTTTATCTACTGTGCCTTGTCTAAATCTAATTTTTGCATGTGTTTCAGCTCAAAAAAGGAATCCTTCCACCAGTAATTTCTATACTTGGGTATATAAAAAACAGGCTACTGTTATCAATTGTTTCTGGTTTTTATCGAATCTATCCCACTAATCTAGTTCTCTGGTTTTTTTTCACTTAAGATAAATAGTTTTAATGATTATTACCTGATAATATAGCTTGAAGTCTGATAAACGTCCTCTTCCTCCATGTTTTTTATCACCATTTCTAGACTCTAGACCTTTTGTTCGTCCAAAGAACTTTGTTATTATTTTGTTTAATTCAACAAAATATATTCTTGGTAGTTTGAAAAGTATAAATATTGATGCTGTAAATTCATTTAGTATATTATAATTTCCATTATATTGACCCTAGTTTGGAGAAAAAAACTGTTCTCCTGAGTATATAATATCCTGCATCCTCAACAGAGTTCATTACAAGGCCCTGTGTCTCAGCCCCTTCCCAATTCTATGGCAACAGTTCTTTATGCCGCTCCTTTCTGTTGATGGGACCAAATACCCACTCCTCCCTCTGTGACATTCCTCTTCCTTCCTCAGTATTGTATCCCTACTTTCCTACCTCCTCAAAAGTAGGGAGAGAAATCTAAAACTTCCCACTTAACTACCCACTAGAATCCTGATAAATCAGGCCCACACAACATACAACCCGCAGACCATTTGCAGCCTGCCAAAGGATTTCAGGCAGCCCACGAAAAATGCAGAGGATGTAAAAGAAAGTAAAGATGTGATGAGTGCTTTGCTTATGCCCTGCTTAATCTGCCTTCCACTAGTCACTAGTGTGCCCTTCATGTAACTTGGCAGGTGGGCTGCCACCGCGCATTCTCTCCTGTTTGTCACTTGACCCGTGACAACCAACCATTGTCAGTCTGTCTCTAGTCTAAGAAAAGCAAGAGTTGTATCTCTTCACTGTGTTTTTGGTCGTTACTAAATGTAAACAGTAAGAAAACCTGAAAAATGTGTTAAACTTTGTACCACTTAGCAAAGTAATTTTTTTAACATTAATGTGATTTCATGATAAATAAAAATCTTAATTCATAAGTGTAATTATTTTATATTAATTGAAATTTCCCTTTTTTAATATGATTTATTTGCAAAATAAATTAATCATTAATTATACTTTTACTTGGAAAATGAGCTGCTAAAAACTTATCTTGAAGCCTGAAGAAGTTTAGCCTATTTTAATTTTGGCCCCTACCTACTGCCAAGTTGTGCAGGTCTGTCATAAGTCTTTTTCTAAATGCTTCTGCCCCAACCTCCTCCTCTGATACTCAAGAAAAATCTTTCTCTTGTTCAACCACCACTAATGAAGAGTGAGATGTTTGTGTCCCTGAAATATTTGTCTACCTTTCTCCTACTCTCTTCCTGATCATTCCTTATTCTCATTCTTTCCCAAGATTCTTTGGTCTTCATACTCTTTGCTTTTTCAATATCTCTTAGATATGGTGAAAGATTTTTTTTAAAGAAATCAAAAAACAACCAAAACATTCCTCCATTTCTATACCCATTGCCTTAATTGGGCCTAGTCACATGAAAATAGGCATTTCTTTTTTGGCAGTCCTTAATCACTATCTAAATTGTTTAAGCTTTAGTTTCTGTTTGGTCTGTTTGCACATAAAATTCTTTGCTCACCTCTGGTTTTTGGTCTGTTTGTCTTTTTTTAAATAATGACTCAGATGTTTCCTTTTTGCTAAAAATCCATATATTTGTATGTGTGTATGTATATATGTATGTGCGTAATTATACAGCTCAGCTTTTAAAGATGTTATTATTTGGGGGGTATAAAACAATCTTATTTGCTCTTTGTAACATCATATTCCAAAATATTCTCTCTTTTGGTTTGGTTTTGTGTTTTTGTTTTTGTTTTTGTTACTCAGGATCAACTGTGTGCTATTCTAATTGATTAGCCTTGAAATATAAAAGGGCTTTTTTTTTCTTTTTCTGGAAGCCTGTAAAATTTATTGCTTAGTGTTGTACTTCTAAAAGTTGACTACAAAGTTTCTTGGTGGATTTAAATTGTGATTTCTTTTTGTTGGCATTCTGGAAATTCTCTCCGATGGTACTTTGCCATTTGCATTCTGAATTTCTGGAAAATCTTCCTATGTGAGTTTCTTGGTTTTCTTTTTCATCACTTTCCCAAAAGACTTCCAGTCTTCTGATGAGTTGTTTATATCCTATCTTCAAATTCGATATTCCTATTTTGTATAACACTCGCATATTCTTTCAATCTAGTGTCTTTTAGGAAGTTTTTTCAACTCAGTTTCCTTATATCTCTGAATGTTGCATTCCCATTGTCATTTTCCTTTTTGAGAAAATTTAATGATTTAGAGAGTCGCCTCTGTCTTTTATTCTAAATTCTCTATTTTCTTGTTAAACTGGTTGATTTCTCCATTGAGAACTCTAATGTCTTTCCTTATTTCTTTGACTTTTTTTTTTACTTAATTCTTTGCTTTTCTGAGCCATTTTGGAGATTACTGAATTAAAGAGCAAGCGATTAATGGCCAATGAGATGGTCATCAGTTATTTCTCGTGTGTGACTAACACAGTAGAAATTTCCTTATTTTCTCTCTTCCCATCATTTGGTTTTTTGTTATATCATTGGGCATTTTTCTTGTGTATCTGAAGTAGTAAGGTAGGAGCTGAGACCAAGTTTATCTCTTACTCCACATCTATATAAGATTCTTCAATAGTTAACATTTCTATATAGTTAATATTTAAATTAAATATAATTTCATAATTAGTTGATTAAATACTAATTTGAAATTTATTAAATAACAATCATTTCTATAGAGTTAATATGTGTGCAGGTCCTACAAGCATTATTATCCTCATCAGGATCAGGAAATCGAGGCTCAGACAAGTAAAGTGATTTGTCCCAAGTCACACAGCTAGTACATATCAGAGGCAGGATGTGTACCCAGATGTTCTGCCTCCTTAAGTCAGAACTTCTTTCATTCCACTATGTGGACACTCACAGATGTGGGATACTTTAATCTAGGAGTATATTAGATCCAATTTGAACTGGCTTTCTAGAACCAACTGTTAAAATTTTTGTGTGAGCATTTCTACCTAAGAGTTTGGCAAATATCACAAATCAGGGATTGATTTTTTTTTTGCTTCATTGATTGTCTGGACTTAAGAAAGTGGTGGAGAAAATGTTAATGATGCAAATTACACTTAAAAGTTTGTGAGTAGCATTTTTTTCCAGAGAGCCATTTGTTAAATATTTATCAGAATGTCCCTACTTTGACCTCTTATTTCGATTCAAGACCCATGTTTTAATACACTATTGGTGAAGTACTCAGTTGATCCAACAATTCTATAAAACCATTTGGAATTATGCTAGAAAAATGACTAAACTGTGCATACTCTTCAACCTAGCAGTACCACTACCGTGCACATACTCCAAGGTGATCAAAGACACAAGTGCCATATGTACCAAAACATTAACAATAAAATATTTTCATAGTAGCAAAAAAAACCCTGGAAATAATTTGGGAAATGTCTATAACTTCAAAAATTATAGTATATGATGTAATAAACTATTACTATGTGTTACAGAAATGGTATTTTGTTTATGTTGACTGTGTTGGTTTCCTTTTTTTGGGGGGGGGGGCCACATTCCAAGGATTTGATTGATCCAGAAAACAAAGACTTGAATGAATGGCAGGATTTCATTGCCACCTGAAGCATGAAGAGCCATATTTTATAGCAAAGAACAGTTAAGCAAAAGATAACATAGTGTGATTTCATCTGCCTTCTCTCAGAATTTCAAACCAAGAATGAATGGAAGCCAAAATTTTTTTGGCCACCTACCAAGGATAAGGGGCTGTGCTCCCTCCATGCCATAGGGAGTAAAAAACTTAATGAAGCGATCCCAAACACAGCACTGACACAAAAGTCAGCCTAAGGCTGTGTAGGCTAAGTGTCACACTCTTGGTACAGGTAATAAATGCAATAAGACTGGAGAAAGGTTATCTTCCATTTGGTTTATAATAGAGAAGACTTTCTGGGTAAAGCAAGCCTTGAACAGTTCATTGTAGAATGAGTTGGAATGGTCTAGGGGGCAAGAGGAGGACAAGCATTCTAGCAATGTCACTTGGAGGCAACCAGGTGGCACAATGTATAGACTGCTGGACTGGGAGTCAGGAGTCCTGCCTCAGGCACCTACTAGGTCTATGACCCTAGGTAAATCACTTAATATCTTTCAGCCTCTGTAAAATGGGGATAATAATAGCTCCTACCTCCAAGGATAGTTGTGAGAATCAAACAGGTTAACATATATAAAGTGCGTTGCAAACCATAAAGTGTTATAAAATGCTAGCTATGACAATGATGATGATAATGAAGACGATGATGAAGAGGAAACTGTGAACAATGGTCTTATGATTGAAATGTACAAGGAAGAACATCCTCTTTCCCCTCCTTGAGCTTCCTGTCATCCTTGTCTTCCTTCTTCTCCCCTTTTTCTTCCTCCTCTTTTTCTTCTTCTTTTTCTTTGCCAGAACATGAGACTTATTAAATGAAAAGTTTTGAGAATTCCTACCCTGGATAATCTTTGTCTCTTGACTCTCTTACAGCTCCTGTCTGTGGACAATCTGGTGAGTTACATTTTATTTTTCATGGTCTCCAAATAACTGTTCATTGGCAAGTTCAGGATCATAGAACCAGAAACCACGACATTAATTCTTTTCTTCAGATCAACATTTCCAGGGATGTTGCAACTATCCAGTTTCCTCCCTGCTTTCCTGAAAGAGAGGTATACTGAAAGATACATTGGGCATGAGAGATATTAGACTTGGGTTCTAAACCCAGCTCTGCTACTAACAACATGCCAAGGATAGATAGACAGATAGATACACAGATACGTAGATACATAGATAGATATGTATTTGGCATAGTACCTGGCACACAGTAGATGTTATTGATTGTGTACAGGCATATGTGTGTGCTTCCAAATATATACACATAAGTATACCCATCACCTAAAATACAATAATTAAAGAGTATAGTATTTGGAGTCAGGAAACCTGGATTCAAATCCCAGTTCTGTCACCTGCAACTGCAACCTTGAGCAAATCACAATTTGGGGGCTCTTTAGTGTCCTCATCTATAAAATGGGGAGCTTGGACTGGAAAACCTCATTTCCAGTACTAACATTCTGTATCTCTTTTCCTGGAAATGGTGGCATTTGAGCCCCCTTCATAGCAAGGTGGCCACACATTTTTTTTTTTTGCGAGACAATGGGGTGAAGTGACTTGCCCAGATTCACACAGCTGGTAAGCATCAAGTGTCTGAAATCACATTTGAACTCAGGTCTTCCTGAATCCAGGTCTCGTGCTCTGTGCAGTACCATCTAGCTGTCCCCCAAAGGCCATACACTTTTATTGTGGAGTCAGAGAACCTTCATTCAAATCTAATACTTAACAACTATGTGACCTTTGACAAGTCACTTAAACTCTCTGTGTCTCAGTTCCCTCATCTGTAAAGTGAAGGGTTAGATGACTCCTAGGGTCACTTACTGCTCAAAACCTATGATGCTGTGATACAATATTGGATGAGAAGAATCTATCATTGTGAAACAGATGAGAGAGAGGTGAGGAAAAAATGTATTCCTGACATCCTTCCTGAAAAGCCAATTCCAAAAAAAGAGTTAATTCAGCCTTTTCCCTTCCTGATGACCTTAGTTGATCCTATAGATGTCCTTTTTAAAATGCTCTTTCATTGTCTGAAATACATTGACAGACTTCTCCCAGTTGGTGAGCTGATGTCTGCAGTCTGGGAGGCAGCCTTTAAAAAGCAAGGACATCTTGGGTGGGAGTGGGGGGCTAGGTGAGGCGGGGGGAATAGTGTAGGGATTCCCTCTATGAGCCCAAAATACATTGAGAAAAAAGGACGATCATCCTTCTGTATATTATATGCTAACTACCATACTGTGGTTGCGAGTTCTTTCAACTTTGCCCCTTTTTTCTTCTTCACATCAGCCACACTGAAGCCAATGATTTCCCTCGAGCCTCCATGGACCACTCACTTCAAAGGGGAAGCAGTGTCCCTGAAATGCGCTAGATTTCACTCTGATGTAACAGGGGAGATCCAGTGGTACTTCAACAAGAAGCTACTTGAAAAAACCTCTAGCTACATTAAGGCTGAAAAGTCTGGACAGTATCAATGTAGGATCCAGGATTCACCCCTCAGTAACCCTGTATCCTTGTATTTTTTAAGAGGTAAGGGAGCAAGTTTGAGCCCCCACAAAGAGATATGAGAAAGTGCTTTCTTCTACTTCTTTGCAGAAATTGTAGTTCGTAGGTATTGAAATATTACAAGTAACATCAAACTTTTTCAACATGTTGATTAGTTTTGCTGAATTTGTTTTTTCTTCCTCTTTTAAAATTCTTTAAATGTAGGTAATGTTGAAATAGAAAACACCAATAATTTAGTCTTTGAATTTTGGTTTCAGTTCATCTAAGGACTCAGTTCCCTCATCTCAGTCTTGCTCCAGGCTAAGGGCTAAATCTCCATGACTTCCAGGTTTAGGTTTTGCATATTAATGTTTCCTGGACTGGGGACTAGTGATCAGCTAGAAGTCTTATAGGACAGTAATGGGGTATCCCCATTTTCAGGACCGTCTTTTCCCATACCTGGTCAGTCAAGCATCTATCTTCTTCTCCACTCCTTGCACTGGGCTTCAGGGTGTTAATATTCACTTCCAGCTGGTTGTGGGGTAACATTTGGGTCCTCTACTATGAACAAACATGCATAAAGAAAATCAGAACCTCTGTGCACTAAAAGACATTCCCTTAAGTAACATAGTGGTATGGGATGGGGTTCATTTCTTGATTAAAAGTATAAAAATTGGGACAGCTAAGTGGCACAGTGAATAAAGCATCAGTCCTGGATTTAGGAGGACCTGAGTTCAAATCTGGACTCAGACACATGATACTCACTAGCTGTGTGACCCTGGGCAAGTCACTTAACCCTGATTGCCTCACCAAAAAAAAAAGAGAGAGAGAGAGAGAGAGTATGAAAATTATAATTATATACTGTACTGGACCCTCAGTTCCCTGGCAGCATCATTGTGATACTTTTAGAATGGGATGGTTTTTCCTCCATCACCACAAGCTCAAATGATCACAAATATATCCTGCAAGCATTCTAATTTTTCTTGGAAATAAAATTATGGCTCTATTGCCCTAAACCTTCTCAAAATATTTAACAACAAGGGGTCCCATCCATCTCTACAGCTATGCACTTAGTTCCTACACTTACAGAACCAGGTAGTCCTCAGATTTTAAATCACTCCACAGATGATTCTACAGGTGTTTGTAAGAGGGCAGTCACTCCAACCTGGAGAGGGAAGAAGTCTGAACCTTATGGGAAACATAAAAGACATTTAAAAAACTGGCACCATTACAGATTAATCCTCAGGCCATTCTCAGAGGTATGCCCAAGCTATTCTTTCCAGTAGATGAAAAATCAAAAGACCCAAGGGAGAGGTGTCAGGAGTAGGCTAAGTGACTGATGTCTCCTTCTGTCTCCTACAGATGAACTCATTCTACAAGCTTCATATCCTGTGTTTGAAGGAGACTCGTTGGTTCTAAGATGCCTGGAAAAAGAGAGAGCAAAACTTACTGAAGTGACATTTTATAAGAATCAAATGCCTCTTACTAGTTCTAAAAAAGGATCCGATCTCTCTATCACAAAAGCAACTTTAAGTAACAGTGGCCAGTATCACTGCAGTGCAAAGAGGTCATCATTTTGGTCATTTGTGTTGAGCAAAATAGAAGCAGAAACAGTAGCAGTCCGAGTCCAAGGTAAAGACTTTCAGCCCCATAGGGTTGGGTTGGAGCAGAGTCTATGAAAGGGTAAGAGGGAGGGATTGGCAGTGGGGTGAAATGGGTAGTCTTTGGATCTCATGGGCTGACCAAGGATTGGAATTCTGGGGCATCACAGGGTTGACTCAGTGGGGATCAGGTTAAGTGTTACTTGGATAGAAGAAACTAAGGGAAAAAATATGACAAAAGAAGAATTGTGTCCTTTAGCCTAACATCGGGTTTGCCATTTGTTATGCTGAAAATCCAAGGCTTGCCTCCCCAGGATCTCTGAAGTTCACTTCCCTGGAAACTGTCTTATCTTTTCTCTCTAGAGTTGTTTTCACTTCCCATACTGAGAAGTACAACTTTGCAGCCCTCAGAGGGAACCCCCGTGATTCTAAGCTGTGAGACCCAGCTTCCTCCAGAGAAAGCAAATATCCAGCTGCATTTCTTCTTCTTTAGAGACAGTAGAATCATCTTGTCAGGCCAGAAGAGAGACTCAACACTCCAGCTCACCAAAGTCTGGAAGGAAGACTCCGGGTCTTATTTCTGTGAGGCAAAAGCAGTGACATCCAGGATCTGGAAAATGAGTCATCCAGTTAGGATCGAAGTGAGGAGTATGTGTCAAAGAGAGATCTAGTAGGTCTAGGGTTAAGAAGAGGGAGGTTGGGTAAATGACATCATGCATTTTGAGACGTCTTCTGTGTTATTCCCATTAATGATAATAATGATAATAATGATAGTTAACATTTTTATTGTACCTACTATATGCCAGGCACTGTGCTAAGCACTTAGAAATATTATCTCAGTTGTTCCCCTCAACAACCATGAGAGGTAGGTTTTATTCTTATCTCTGTTTTACAGATGAGGAAACTGAGGCAAACAAGTCAAGTGACTTGCCCAAGGTCACACAGCTAATAAGCGTCTAAATCCAGATTTGAACTCAGGTCTTCCTGACTCCAGATCCTGCACACTTCCACTCAGACCATTTAGCTACTCCATTATCCCTGTGGTAATGGGTAATGACAGCTCTACCAAAGAGATGGGCTACCTGTTGGTTGGGGCACAAGGAGTGAAGTGAAAATTAAGAGATTCTTTTCAAAAAAAAAAGAGCTGCGGGCAGCATTTCCCTTACCACCTCAAGATCTCCAAGGCTTATGCTGTCCTATAGGCTCACCCTTTCCTGGCACATGATTGCCTTGGCTAGGACAGAGAGGTAAGGCTGAGGGAAGAGGAAGGTGAGAGCTTGGCTAGAGATTTAGGTGGTGACTTCTACTCAGAAGTATAGTCAAATCCCCAAAGCACAAGGTCACTGACCCCTTAGAGTGGGACATCTAGAAAGTCTGGCATCTGGAAATGGGGAGGTCTATCATATAATTAATCATAAAGAGATGGAACTTTGAGAACAGATGAACTTGGTTTGCATTTGCTACTGTTCTTCCCTATCCCTTTAAAACAGAATGAGCTGGGGGCAGCTAGGTAGTGCAGTGGATAGAGCACTGGCCCTGAATTCAGGAGGACCTGAGTTCAAATCCAGCCTCAGATACATAATACTTACTAGCTGTGTGACCCTGGGCAAGTCACTTTAACCCCATTGCCTAGCCAAAAAAAAAAAAAACCACTACTCTAAAACAGAATGAGCTGCCCATTAGGACTTCCAGAGTAATGCCCCCAAAGCTGCCCAAGAAACAATCTGCTTCTCTATTCCTGGGGGTGGTAAAGAGGTCAGAAACAGCTGAGCCCCTAAAATGGGACACTGTTAGACTAGATAAAATTTAAAAGTTCATGGGTCAGAAATATACATTCACCTGGGTCAACAAAAAGTCAGTGTCTCAGGAGTTAGAATTTTTAAAAGGCCCTAGAGGTTATCCAGTCTAACCCTCTCATTTTACAGATAAGGGAACTGAGGTCCAGATTGGAGAAGGGACTTGGCCCAAGCATATACAAGTAGTAAACTGCAAAGCTAGGATTTCCACCCAGATACTCTGATTTCAAATTCAATGCTGTTACATCTAAACCAGACTTTTTTCCCTTCATTTTTTTTTAACTATTGACCTACATCACCTGCAATGATCTATATTCACTAACTTGAATTCAAACATCATTTGTTTTACAATCATACAAGTAGCCACCATTAGCCTCACCTTCCACAGCCTCCTCAGACCTGAAGTCTCCGAGGATCAGGCTCTTTATACTTTACTTCGTTTTCACCCAGGAGTCCCTGTCTCTGGAATCCAACTGGAGACCCAGCCCCCTGGAGGGCAAGTGACAGAAGGGCAAACGCTGGTCCTTCTCTGTTCAGTAGCTGGGGGCACAGGTGACATCACATTCTCTTGGCACAAGGAAGGCTCTGAAGCAATCCTGAAGAAGAAAACTCAGAGGTCACTAGTGGCAGAGTTTGAAATATCGACCATGAGAGAGAGTGAAGCTGGGAAATATTACTGTGCAGCTGACAACACTGACAATCCGCTACGTAGTAGACCAGTGAGCATCTCCATGAATAGTAAGTGTTATATCCCTTTCTTCAGCTCCTTAGTAATAATACACACTTACCTCAGGCTCTGAGGTTTGCAAAGTGCTTTCCTCACTAGAGCCCTGAGACATAAGCAGAAGTGTTATTATCTTTATCTTACAGGTTGTTTATAAACCTCATTTTACAGATGAGGAAATCGAGATTTAGAGGAGCAGGGTAAATTGTTGATGGGCACAAGAGAATAAATATTGGCAATGAGATTTGAACCCAGGTCCCCCGATGCTAAGGATAGGGCTTTTTCTGTTAATTACATACCATGCTATTCATTGTCAGCTAATGTTTTCTGAATTGATTTCTTGGATTCCCTTCAGAGACGAATCAGAGGTATATGGACTGGTGTTCAAAGATTTCACAAAAATCAGACTTTTAGAGAAAAAAAAACTGTAATTAAAGGTGTCAGTAACAAATTGTAGTTTGTTGTGGAAGGACAGAGGATATGGCGCAAAGCAGGATCATGGGAACTCTTGGGGTAGAAGGGATAGTAAGAAAAAATAGTAGGATGCAGATTGAGAAGGGTTCTGGGCTGATGTCCAGGGGATTAATATTTGGAAATTCTCTTCTTAGATTTTGGAGAGAGGCCTCTGAGAGAGCTAGGTGCAGAGCAAAGGAGACAGAAATCAGGACTGATGAGTGGGCTCCTTCCCTGCCCCAGATGCCTGGGGTCGGAGGGTCATGAGTCATAGCTGCAGAAGCTCACCTGACTCTTGTCCTTTTCTCCCTCAGTTCCAGTCTCTCCTCCTCTCCTCACCTTCAGCGTCCCTGAGACACAGATGTTTGTGGGGAAGGTTGTGGAGCTTCAATGTGACTCCCAGAGAGGATCGGCTCCAATCCTATATCGGTTTTATCATGAGGGTAAAATCATGAAAAACAGCTCAGCCCCTTTTGGAGGTGCAGCATCCTTCAACCTATCCCTGACCGAACAACATGCTGGGAGTTACTTCTGTGAGGCTGACAATGGTGTAGGCGTGCAGTTCAGTAAGGTGCTGACGCTCTCAGTCAAAGGTACGTTGGCCCTTCCTGGTGGGAAGCTACATCCAGGTTAGATGATACATTCCCAGTATTGAACATCCCAACTATGGGGATCCAGGCTGTCCCCTGGTAGGGTGCTATAGCATCATGACAGGCTCCCTGGCTTCTCTACCCCTCCTGAGGAACTCAGACCCTGCTCCTATAGGTCCCCTCATAGTAAGAGGGGTGTTGGAAATGGGGAGAGTTAATCGTTTGATGGCATTATGACTTCATGAACTAGTTCCTACTTGAAGCTCATTGTAGGTTAGTCTGGGGGGTCAATTTGACCCACAGGAAGGCATATTAATCCTTGGAAGCCACTTCATTACTGTTGTAAGCACAAGGGTCAACTAGTAAGTGAACGCAATAACCATTCAAAACAACCAGTGCTTCATTGTTGTTATTCCTGTTGTTCAGTTGTTTTCAGTCATGTCTGACTCTTTGAGACCCCATCTGGGGTTTTCTTGGCAGCAATACTGGAGTGGTTTGACATTTCTTTCTCCAGTTAATTTTACAGGTGAGGAAACTGAGGCAAACATGTTCTGGAATGCAACAAGAATTGCTTTATACCACAAGTATGGTATAAACATTCCTCATAATACAAATAGGGGCAGATAGACAAACTTTCCAAACACCATCTGAATAGGCCAGTGTATGGGGCCTAATCTGTAACAATAAAACAAAACAAAGCAAAACAAAACAAAAACGACCTTGTAACACTCAGGAAGATATTTTATTTATTTATTAACAATTTATTAATTGGTTTTAACAATGATAGTTTTAGCATTTCCTTTGCTTACAAAGATCTATGGATTATTAGACCTAAAAGGAATTTTTAGAGATAATTTAACTCACCACTTTCTTTTCACAGAGGAAAAAAATGAGTCTCAAAGCAATCAAGTGACTTGTCTAAGGTCTCACAGCTGGTTAGTGACAGAATGGGGACTAGAATACAGGACTTGCAACTCCTAGTACCTACACAATAGGTACAAGGATAAAATAGACTCTAGCTTAGATAATGAGTCTCACATACGTATCCTTTCATTCCGGATGCCTCTGACCAGCCATATACACTCATCCCATTCCCAGCCCTGGTTCTTCTCTCCCTGGCTTCCCAAGAAATTTTTGCTTTCTCCTTCCTTGCCACTCTTTCTACCTATAGTCCAGGCTGAAGCTCTCCTGATCTCCCCACCCAAACAGTAATCTCTCTTCTGGGCCTCTATTCCTGTTCATAGCAAACCCCTAACTATATATAGAACAAATCACTTCTGTTTCTCCTGTTTCTATCAAACAAACTGAGTCAGTGATTTCATTCCTTCCTCTAACCACTCAATGATGCTTGGAATAACTGGGCTCCCTTCCCATTGATGCACTTTATCCCCACCCTCCTCCTCATCTATATCTCCTAGAGTGTGCCTGCACAACATTCAGCCCGCCAAAGGATTTTGGTGGCTGTCACGTGACCCATGGTAACCAACCATCACCAGTCTGTCTAAAGACAGAAATCCTTTGGTGGCACACGGGCCGTATGTTGTGCAGGCCTGTCCTAGAGCATCTAGTTACATGGTGAGGACCAGCACAGCATCACTGAGAGAATGCTGGACTGAGATAGGGAACATGAGCTCAGCTCCTGGATCTGTCCCTTCTTTATCAAGGTGCCATTCTCTATATCTGTCACTTCAATTTTAAAAGGGGTGGGAGGAGGGGCAGCTAGATGGCATAGTGGATAGAGCACCAGCCCTGAAGTCAGGAGGACCTGAGTTCAAATCCAGACTCAGATACGTAACACGTATTAGCTGTGTGACCCTCGGCAAGTCACTTAACCCCAATTGCCTCACGCAGACAAAAAAAAGGAGTGGGAGGGTGGCCTCTAACAGGAGATGACATTTCTGTAGTGCTTTACATATATCATCTCAGTTAAACCTAACAACAAAACTGTGAGGTAAATATTATACTATAGCAGCTACTATATCACCACCACCAGTACTACTACTACTATTACTACTACCACTACTACCACTTACCGCCACCACTACTACTGCTATACCACCATCACTATTACTACTACTAACACTACCAGTACTACCGCTACCACTACTGCCACCACCACTACCACCTCTACTATTAATACTATACCACTACCACCACCATCACCACCATTACTACTACTCCTACTCCTACTGCTGCTGCTGCTGCTACTACTGCTATTATTACTACTTCAGAGGTGAAAAACTAATTGGTAGTAGTTTTATGCAGCCCACAAGACTCCCTAGTGTAGCCAAGCCAAATTAAAATGTAATTGGGAAATGTTTAACAAAATAAATAAAAATATGATGCAACACAGATGGTGTTAATTGGTGGTTTTCCACTATTTGGGGTTTGACACCTCTGCAGCATACCATGTTATCTGGAGAGGAGGATCACTAAGCCCCTGCTATAACATTAATTTAGGGCTGCTAGATGGCGCCATAGAGCCTAGAGTCAAGAAGACTCATCTTTCTGAGTTTAAATCTGACTTCAGACACATTAGCTGTCTGACCCTGGGCAAGTCACTTAACGCTGTTCACCTCAGTTTCTTCATCTGTCAAATGAGCTAGAGAAGAAAATGGCAAACCACTCCAGTATCTTTGCCAAGAAAACCCCAAATGGGCTCCATGAAGAGTCAGACATAACTGAAATGACTAACCAATACCATAATAACAATAATGGAATAATTGGAAGAGGAAGAGAAGAGATAGTGGAGAAAAGCTGCTTGGGGAAGAGAGGAGCCCATAGGAATATGGGATGACATTCATGCCACAGAACAATAAGATCTCAGAGGTGGAAGGGAGCTCAGAGGCCATCTAGCCTACCCTGTATATGAGCAGGAAACGTCCTCAACATAGAGTCATCTAGCCTCTGAGACAGAGATCTCACAGCTTTGAAAAACATAAAGCATCAGGCTGATATAAAATAGTCTCATCGTTGTGATACCTGGAATTTTTCCCTCAGATCTTTGTGGATAGGTTCTGAAATCTAGGTCTGCATCCTAGGCAATTGGAGAACTAGGAATGGCCTTGGAGAGTATCTCCTTGCTTTTGTGGGGCAGATAGTGGTGCAGTGGATAGAGTGCTGGGCCTAGAGTCAGGAAAACTTGAGTTAAAATCCAGCCTCAGACACCGTATTTGCCTCAGTTGCCTCATCTGTAAAATGAGCTGGAGAAGGAAATGGCAAACCACTCCAGTATCTGCCAAGAAAACACCAAATGGGGCCATGAAGAGTCTGAAATGACTGAACAACAACCTTAGTTCTATTGATTATGTTTGTTCTTCCCTTTTTCTTTTAAAAAATGTTCTTTGTTATATAAGATGGCTCTCTGGGAGGGGGAAGGATATGGAAGAGATTTGAGTAATTTAGGGGGAAAAAAGGTGTTTTTTGTTTTGTTTCATTTTAAATTTTGTTAAGTTTGTTAAGTTAATTAAGGGTGTACCCCTAATAGAAGTTCATGAAATAAAGGGCTCGTGTTTCTGAAGCTGAGATGCTGATTTCTGTTATCTCCCTCAGTTCCAGTGTCCCGTCCTTTCCTTACCATCAGGAAGGCCACCATAGGGGACATGGTAGAGCTTCGATGTGAAGCTGAGACAGGCACAACACCGATCCTCTATAGGTTTTTTCACCAAGGTATAATCCTGGGGAGTGGTTGGGCCCACTTAGGAGAAGCTGCCTTTCTCAACCTGTCTCTGACAGCCGAGGATTCTGGGATCTACTCTTGTGACGCTGACAATGGCATTGGTCCCCAGCTCAGTGAAGGGGTGAAATTCCCTGTCACAGGTATACAAGGAAGACTGGACCTGAAATCTAGAGGATGAACATTTGACCTCCTCCCAAGAGGGTGGGGCATTTCTCACGATGCCAGATCATGGTTCACTGTTTCTGAGGATGGGCCATCTGGGGACATGCAAGGTTGAGTCCTTGGGGATCAGTGTTGTCATGGGTGATGTCACTAGGTAGATACTGAGGAAGAAATGGCTCAGTAACTGGCTACATCTCCTCTCCCTGAGTCCCAAGGTCCCTTACCCCCACAAGGTGATCACTTCACTAAACTCTGGGCAAATATGCAAATATTGCTGGGTCACAATAATGAGAAAATCTATAATAATCTTGGTCACATTCCATCCTCAGCTTCACAATAAATCATCCCTCCTCAAACCCAATCTCAGGACTCAGTTGCTCAAAAGCAGAAGGGATATTTCTTGTATTACTGAATATGAACTGAATCAGGTGTCCACCTGCCTAGCTCTAAGCCCAATTCAAAAAGTCCTCCCATGTTCCTGACCCTTAGGTCTCTCTTCTCGAGTTCTGAGCCATCAGGACTACTAGTTCAAGAATTCTCAGGCCTGCTCTCCTCACCCCTGCCTCATGCCAGACTCTCTTCTCTCAGTCCCTACAGGGAAACGAAGGGGCCTGCTTGCTGGAGGTGTCAGCTTGGGCCTGCTCGGATTCCTGGGTCTCACTGGTGTAGCTCTTCTGTTGTACTTCAGGACCCGGAGGAGATCAGGTTTGTAGGCCCTGATCATTAACCTGTACAGAATCCCTGTCCCCATCCTGCCTCATGCCCAGAGTGACTGTCACCTTGAGGCTTCAGACCCTCACTGAGCAATCAGTGCGGCACCAAGTGAAGAACAGAACAGATCAGAGGTATGCTGATAAATATTTAGCAACCAGATCTCTGAAAATTTTTTCTAAAAGCATGCAGGACACACTTTTAAATTTTTTTTTATTTTTTTTTTTTGGCTAGGCAAGGGGGTTAAGTGACTTGCCCAGGGTCACACAGCTAGTAAGTGTTATGTGTCTGAGGTCAGATCTGATCTCAGGTCCTCCTGAATCCAGGGCCAGTGCTCTATCTACTGTGCCACCTAGCTGCCCCCACACTTTTAAAATTTAATCCACATTTTTAACATTTTCTCCATTATTTTCTTGCCCAGACAATTAACAAAACAATAAATCAAGCTCTGATTTACAATTGATTTATAATGTTTGCAGATTTCTAAAGCATAAATATTTACACAAAAAAAAAATTAACCATAGCCCTCATTAAGAGCTGGCTCCAGCAAATCAGTAGAAATGACATTTATCCAGCTTTTTTGTAGGCAATCAGGGTTAAGGTGACTTGCCCAGGGTTACATAGCTAATAAATGTCTGAAGTCAAATTTGAACTCAGGTCTTTCTGACTTCAGGGCCCATGCTCCATGCACTGTGCTACATGGTGCTCCCTGCTTTCTTACTCTATGAAGACAGCTGAACCTTATCACCCAGGCTTTTAACTCACTGGAAATCCAGGCTTTTTTTTTTTTAAATATACAGGCCACCCTCCAGGTTCACAAGGATCACAGGAGCTCAAAGAAGCTTCTAAATGCCCTTGTACAATACAATACAATCCTACTTTCTTTCCCTCCACCCTGTCACCAATCAATCAAAAAAACTGATTGGTCTCAGAGAGCAGAATGAAGACCAGTGCACAGAAAATGCAAAGAGGTAGATTCCCACTTTTTATAAAGAAAATTTCCAAAACAATTAGAATTGGCCAAAAGTGGAATAGGAAGTTGTGACTTCCCCATCAACAGTCAAAGTCAATAAACATTTATTAAGAACTTAATATGCACCAGGTATTGTGCTAAGTACTAGAGGTACAGATAAGAAAAGCCAACACAGTACCCACCCCTTCAGATCACTTGAAATCTTTGAGGAGAGGTTAGGTGAGTATTTGTTGGGTATTTTGGAGATTGAATTCTTGCTCAGGTATGAATTAGGCTAGCTGGAGTAATGGATAGAGCTCTGGACTCAGAGCAGGGAAGACCTAAGTTCCAATCCAACATTGGACACTTAGTAGGTGTGTGACCCTGGGCAAATCACTCAACCTCTGCCTGCCTTAGTTTCCTCATCTATAAATGGGGATAATAATAGTACCAACCTCCCAGAATTGTTATAAGGATAAAATGAGGTATTTCTAAAGTGTTTTATGAACTTTAAAAAGCTATACAAATGTTAGCTATTATTATGGTCTCTAGGTCCCTTCAAATTCTGATGCTGTATGAATCTGTGAAATATTTAGAGTATTTATCGTAAGGTTCTATGAACACTTACCAGCTTACTTACTATGGCCCTGTGTCTCTAGTCCGTCACTGCCTGTCTCATCAGCTGACTTCCAGCCCCTCTCATCGACCAATTCTCAATGAACTTCAGCGTCTCCCTATCACCTTACGCATCAAATGTCGTACGTCTGGTATTTAACCCTCTTCCCAACTCGGCTCCTTCCTACCTTCCAGGCTTTCTTATACCTTACTCCCCTCCTCACACTCTGTGATTCTGCTGTACTCAGCTAGTTGCTGTTCCTCACACATGGCATTCCTTCCATCTCCTGTCTTCAAGCTTCTGTATCGGCTGTTTTTCCCCAGCTCTGGAATGCTGGCCCTCCTCACCTTGTCTTAGAATCCCTGAGTTTTTTCAAAACTCAGCTTAAGTCCCACCTACCCTGGTTCCCTCAGCTACTAGTGCCTTTCCCTGTGATACTACCTTCCATCGACTCTGTAAATATCTCACATGTACCTAATTGTCTCTTCTATGAGACCCTTAAGGACACAGTCTTGTTTTTGTTTTTGTTTTTGCATTTCTTTTTATCCTCAGGGCATAACCCAATGTGCAAACTTTTATTGAACACTTACTTGGCCTTGGCCCATGGTAGGTGCTTAATAAACGCTTGTGGACTGAACTGACTTCTCTGTTAGTGGGTATATAGCTTATTCCTCAGCTTAAGAATATGCCATGAGATGGTTCTGACCCATACGCTGACATCCTCCTTCCCCCAACATCATCCTTAGCTTAGGTAGAGAATCCTCTTTTGACCCATTTTCTCCCAAAACCTTTCCACTCAGAATCCAGTACAGAGAGCTGACCTTGGGTTGGCCCTGGATCTCTGAGCATAATTCCTCAAGGTCACTTATGTCGATTGCCCACTGATCTCCACTCTGAGGCAGTGACTCCCTTGCTCTTGACCTTACAGGAAACTAATCAGGGAAGAAATGGATCCTTGGTGGAAGTAGCACCGAAGGGCAGTTAGGAGGTGCAGTGGATAGAGTGCTAGGCCTGAAGTCAGGAAGACTCACCAAATCTGGCCTCAGACACTTACTATGTGACCCCAGGGCAAGTCACTTAACTTATTTGCTTCAGTTTCCTTATCTATAAAATGTGCTGGAGAAGGAAATGGCAACCACTCCAGGATCTTTGCCTAGAAATCCCGAATGGGGTCACAAAAAGTCTGAAAATTACTAAATAAAAAGCACCAAGGATCAAGCCACAGTCCCTGGACCTAGTCTCAAATGCCCCAGATTTTATCCCTGCCCCCAACAAGAGGAAAACAAGCATCTACTCCGTTCTTTTCTGGTGCATGACAATCCGTAGAGAATATATTTGTGTTCTCTAGTCCCGCTAAAAGAGGGAGTGGAACAAGGAAGAGGGGACAAGTATAGGGAACCATAGATGTGAGCAACATAAACTTTCCAAGCCAAATGCCAGTTTTATATCATTACGTAGTTTGAAAATCACCATGTAATCCATGGTTCAGAACTGAGAACTGACACTCTGGTTATGCTTGGACTGGGTTCAATCTGTGGAGTTCTCTGTAAACATTCCCTTCACCTGAAATTATCTGGCTTGTGTTTAAGGTTTCACAACAAAAGTTCTTAATTGTAGTATTGGCTAACACATTTCTGTGTGAAGTACACAACAATAGCATAATCACAGCTAATAATAAAAATAATGGCTAACCTTTTAATATAGCACTTTAAGATTTACAAAATTTTATGTAGCTAGATTAGATAGGTAAATAGATGTTGTTCAGTTATTTCAGTTGTGTCCAACTCTCCATGACCTCATTTTGGAGTTTTTTTGTTCTTTTTCCTTTTTTTTTTTTTTTGGCTAGGCAAGGGGGTTAAGTGACTTGCCCAGGGTCACACAGCTAGTAAGTGTTATTGTGTGTCTGAGGTCGGATTTGAACTCAGGTCCTCCTGAATCCAGGGCCGGTGCTCTATCCACTGCACCACCTAGCTGCCCCCATTTTGGAGGTTTTTTTGGGAAAAAATACTGGAGTAGTTTGTCATTTCCTTCTCCAGCTCATTTGACAGATAAGGAAATTGAGGCTTGCCCAGGATCACACAGCTAGTAAGTATTTGAGGCCAGACTTGAACTCAAGAAGATAAAAGTCTTCCTGATTCTAAGCATAGTGCTCTATCCATTCAGTCACTTAGCTGCCCCGAGATTTTATATACATACATACATACACACATATATATATATATACATGTATGTACACCCACATACACATATATAAAATCATTATATATACATACATACACAGACACACACACACACAGACACACACAGACACACACACACACACACACACACACACACACATGTTTGATCCTCACAATACCCTTATGGGAAAGTGCTATTGTTATCCCCATTTTTACAGGTGAGGAAACAGGCTAAAAGAAGTTAAGTAATTTACTCAGGGTCTCACAGCTGGCAAGTATCTGAGGCCAGATTTGAACTCAGGTCTATTCCTGACTCGAAGTCCAGTACACCATCCACTGTGCCAACCAGCCTCATGGATATCATGTGCTTCGTTGAATTCACTGAAAATAGCATCAATAGCATTGTTCCCTTCTACAAATCAGGTGGCCACATCAGCAAAGAAAATAAGCTTGCTCAAGAATGGTATCTTCTGGATGAAACTGTACTGCCTCATGCAGCATGTGATCCCTGCTTCTTTTCCTTAGATTTCCACTAACTACAACACCTTCAGTAACATATTCTAGAATGTTGCTGAGAATAGGGGTTAGGGTCCATTGTCTTTGATTTTCAAACATCATTCCCATCCCTTTTTAAAAAAAAAAATAGATGCCCCCAAAAAACTGCTAGAGTCTTCTTCCCATTCTCCAACTTTCAAAAATCACTGATGGTGGTTCAGAGTTCACATCTGCCAATTCTTTCACTAACCAAAGATGTAGTTCATCTGGTCTACAACCCAGACATACGAACTGGCTGTGAATCAATCATTTTAATTGTGCCATTAGAGGGGCAGGGATGATATCCAGGGCCAGACAAGTTCTTACCTTATCAAAGAGTTAATTTTGTCAAGGAATTTAACATGTCATTAAGGAGAAACAGCATAGATTCAAGAGAGATATACCAGGCATTTCTTGGGTACATCCTTCAGAGCAGAGAGAACTAGGAAGGTATAACGAAAAGGAGCTCGGTTCCGAGGTTAAAGGACCAGTGCTCAGATGTTGCTTCTGTAACTATTTGTATGACCTTGCAGAAGATATTTGATGACAATAATAATGATAATAATAGCTAACATTTATAAAGTACTTACTATGTGCCAGGCACCACACTAAGTGCTTTACGATTATTATCTCATATGATCCTCACAACCACTCTGGGAGGTCAGTGCTATCATTATTCCCATTTTACAGGTAAGAAAACTGAGGCAAACAGAAGTTAAGTGACTTGCCCAGGGTCAAACAGCTAGGAAGTGTCTGTATCTGGATTTCAGTCCAGGTCTTTATGACTCCAGACCCAGGACTCTATCTACTTTGCCATCATCATCATCATCATCAATAGTATAAATAGTAAAATAAATAAATAGTATTTCTATATCAGTTTAAGGATTTCAAAGAGCTTTACATATATTATCTCATTTGCTAATAGGTGCCATTATTATATCTCTACCAAGAAGTTAAGCGATTTGCATGGGGCCACATAGCCCCTTGGGTATCTGTAGCAGGATTCTAGCTCAGGTCTTCTTGATTCCAAGGCCAGTGCTTTTCTCATCTGAAAGTCTAGGGAACTGGTCTAGTTGGCCTCCAGGGTCCCTTCCAGATCTAATCTGTAAATCCACAATGCTATGAACTTCATGAGCTCCTAGAGTACTGAGACCACCTTTGCATTTCCTGGCAGAGCTTAGCACAGGGCTTTGTGGATGGCGAGTGCTTAAAACTTTGTTTGAATCTGAATTTGTGTCTGTCGGAACAGTCAACAATCACAGGGCATGGTGGTGAAGTCCCCAAACACATCTAAGGGCCTCATTTAAATTCCAAGCTTCTAGCAGGTGAGAATCATGCCTTTCCCTTACTCCGTGTCATCTTGGTTTAACCTAGCACACAAAAAAAAAGATACAGGGCTCCATTTCCACGCTACATTGCTTCACTCCCTACACTGACATCACCCAATAGAATGCAGGCCCCTTGAGGGCAAGGTATCTGGACTCTTATTTTTGTCTTCACATAAGCAGTATCAAAAATAATGTCTGAGTTATAGTAGATACTTACTGCTTTCTAACTGATTAACATTAATCTTCCTTTTCTTTGCAGGACAAAGTTTTGCTCTTGTACTCCCCAGGCAAGTCCTTAGTCCTTTCAGTGTCTGACTTCTTGTCATTTGCTAAAAGTCTATAATCCAGGAACATGGAAAATGCCATTTATTCCTAAGGCTACACCTATCCATTTCTTGATTTCACATGCTTTGGGATTTGCTGTTGCTGTTCAGTTGTTACTGTCATGTCTGACTCTTTGTAACCCCGTTTGGGGTTTTCTTGGCAAAGATATTGGAGTGGTTTTGCCACTTCTTTCTCCAGCTCATTTGACAAATGAGGAAACTGAGGTAAACAGAATTAAGTGACTTGCCCAGGGTCACACAGGCTAGGAAGTGTCCAAGACCAGATTTGAACTCAGGAAGAGGAGTCTTCCTGACTCCAGACCCAGTGCTCTATTCACTGTACCACCTACCTGCCCTCTATGTTTTGGGATAGCTAAAGAAAAGTCACTCACCAGCTAAGATATGCAGTAACCCTTCTGCTTATCACCAAAACAGATTTGTTATTGATTTTCTTACTCAGCTAAAATGTTCAGTATTTGTCCACTTGATTAAATATTTGCATAGCAGCATCTCATCCACTGGGGCAGATACTACATTCATTTATCAGAGTCTTTACATTGCAACCCTAAGCATTATGTCTTTCACAGAGGAGGAGGGGGAGGAGGAAGAGGTGGGAGAAAGAGGATGAGGGGGAGGAAGAGGAGGGAAGAGGGAGGAAGAGGAACAGGAAGGAGGAGGGGGAATAGGAAGGGGGGGAGGAGGGGGAGAAGGAGGAGGAGGAGGACAACAACATTGCCTAGTGAAGTGGTCAACTAAAGTGGCCACCATGTCAATAGGACAAAGCAGTATTTTGTGACTAAATGACCATCACCCTCTGGTTCTGTCCTCAGGCTGCCTACTTTGCTTCCCCAGCTCTGGCCACCATTGGTCCATCCCACTACTCAATTGCTTCTCCTAAAAAGCCCCTTACTAACCACCAGCAGCACAGATTCGTGGGAGGTAAAACCCCTTGAATCACACCAAGTTCTCTATGCCTTTCTGGTTGCTAATTTCCTGAAGTTCTGTGTCACCACACTTACCATTTCCTACAGGGCTCTCTCCTTGATGATCTCATTAATGTATAATTAGTGTTGTTACTATGCCAGGAAATATGATGTCTGTGTGTATCTCACAGGAGCCCCGCCATCCCAGGATCCCAAGAACGTTCCCAAGTGGAGCTAGAGCCAACATATTTCAATGGTAAAGACCTCTCCATTGGACAAGGGCTCCAGACCTAATCCCAGGCAATTAGGAGGTGCATAGGAGAAGGGAACACAAACTATCTCGTTTGTTCAGCCTACCAGCTACCCTAGGTTTTACCTCAGAGAACAGGACCTCTTGAGCACAGTTTTGCGAAGCAGTCAGGTTTAATGGAAAGAGTGATACATTAGGAATCAGGAGAGACTTTTGTTTGAATTCCACCTCTGACACTTGCTAGTATGTGACCATAGACAAATTAGTTAACCTCTCTGAGCCTCAGTTTCCTCCTATATGAAATGGGTTTATTAATATCTATAATACTTACCTTACAGGATTATAAAGATCAAAAGAAATAATGTATATAAAGCAATTTTAACTTTAAAGCACCATATTAATGTCAGCTATCATTATTACTTTGGGGGGGCTAGGCAATGGGGTTAAGTGACTTGCCCAGGGTCACATGGCTAGTAAGCATCAAATGTCTGAGGCTGGATTTGAACACAGGTCCTCGTGACCCCAGGGCCAATGCTCTATCCACTGCACCACCTAGCTGCCCCTATCATTATTACTTTATCATGATTTCAATGATAAATCATATTTATCTAGTACTTTACGTTCCTTATCTAAAAAATTGGTTGATCACATCTGCACCACCTACTTCCCACGGTTGTTGTAGGAAAGTAGTTAATCAGCATCTTGGCCACTAGGTGGCAGATACTACATTCATCTAACCCTATGAGTTATCATAGCTCCCTTTGGCATTTCTTTACCGCACCATATAAACGTGAAATGTTCTTATATGAGCTCACAACCCTAATATAAAGTGAACAGTATGACTTTTTAGAGACTGTAGAGCAGGAAGGGTCCTCATGGTTCACATAGTGTAATCTTATTGCGTATTAATAAGAACATATAATATTATTATTATCTATTGGATATTATCCTATTGCATAAGAATAAGGATATTAAAGGTCAAACTTTAAAGGTCTTTGTGTCCATAGCCACACAGCTAATAAGTGTCAATGCCAGGATTTCAGCCCAGGTCTTCTGACAGCAAGTCTAGTACTCTTTGTGCTGCCTCTCAATAAATATGGAAATTTCCTGAAATGCCGACATCATGCTGGAGATGGAAGATATTCCTGGAAAGAGGAGTCGGGGTGGGCATGTGGGAGGATTTCATCTTCTGCTATGCCATAATAAATATAAATATTTAACTTCTGGCACATTCATCTGACCCTGCCTATAAAGTCCTATTCTCACCTCTGGCCAATCTACAGACCCAGGCCAGCAGTCCAGAATACACAGCCCAGCATTTGCAGACCTGGGACTTACAGTGAATCCTGTCATCAGGGATGTGGTGTATGCTGAGGTCCAGAATTCGCAGCAAAAAAAAAGAAGATACAGGTGAGAAAATGGGATCTGGTTCTTACATTGAGTTGTGTCCCATCCTATTGCATCTGGCATCCAAATCATGTTAGCCCCCTCCAGCATGGCCCCAGAGTTTCTTGGCCATCCTACTATTGTCTGTTCTCTGCAGACAACCTGCTTGGCAGAATTGCCCAAGTGTTCTTGAGAAAACATTCTTTTTTTTTGTCTTTGCATCCTCAGCCCTTAGCAAAATTCTTGACACATAGTAAATACTTAATACATGCTTGCTGACTAATTGATATCCCTATTTACGGACTAGTGGATCACCCACATGATAACTTCTCATTGCTGTTGACCTGTGACAAAATGTCCGGAACAATGAGGAAAATGTCTTACAGATGAATGGCAGAGCTTTTGCCCTGAAAGGGTGCTCTCTTTATTTAATCTATGGATGCAACCAACAAGATGCAGCCATTCTGCTAGCTTTCTGGGTCATGTGTTAGCAAATCCTCCCCTTAATACAAATAAAACAAGGTGGGTTAAAAAAATATCTGTACTGGGAGAGAGTTGAAGGCTGAAAAGGATGCGAAGAAAATCCAATTGTTGTTTTTTTCCAAATTCTGTTTCCATTCCAAGTTTTTTACCAATCTAGGATCAAATAGTGGTTGACCTCTCACCAAGACTCAAATTGGGGCAGGACTTTTAGAGCCTCTGAGGTACAGTACCCTTCACAGGGGACAAGGGATTTACAGTTGGATGGGACTTTAAAGGTCACCTAGAGAAACCCCCCTCCTCATTTTTTGGATGAAGAAAATAAGGTCAAGTTAAGTACTTCACCCAAGGTCATACAGGTAATAAATAGAAGAGACTGACTGTGAACCTAGGCTTTTTGCCTCTAAATCAAGATGTCTCTTTACCATGCTATGAAAACGAACCCAAAAAAAATTGTTGAGTTGGGCATCATGAGGTCAAGGAAAATTTGGTCCCTTTTTCACTCCTCATGAGCACCTTAATTAGGGCCTAGGAAATAATCATATCAATCACAGAACTAGAGTGCTGAAGCCAGAAGGGACCTTAGAGGGCATCTATTCCAACCACTTTGTTTTAGAGACAAGGAAACTAAGGCCAGGCAAGGTCAAGTGACCTGTCCAAGACCATACAATTAGTTCATATCAGAGCTAGGAGAGAAATTAATTCTCAGCTAAGCATCTGGATGTTTCAGTGCTTAGGGAGCAAATGGTACTACTCTACCCTGGACTTTTTAGTTACTGTTTCACTGTCTTCCTTTTCTTCCTGAGTTGAAGAAACAATGAGTTATGTCAATGACCCAAGGAAACCTTCCCTAAGGGACACTTACTAGCTGTGTGACCCTCAACAAGTCACTTAGCCTCTGTCTGTCTCAGTTTCCACATCTGTTGCTGTGACGATCAAATGATATATTTTTAAAGCACTTAGCACAGTGCCAGGCACATAAATGTTTGTTCACTTCCTCTTTTCTCCAGGACAAGGGTTCTTAATATAGGATCCATGAGCTCCCAAGGGGTCCATGGCAAGATTACAGGTGTCTGTGAAATTTTTAACATATATTTTGATATGTTCATTTCAATGTGATAGGTTTCCTTTGTAATCCTACCTATTTCATTTTATCCATTTAAAAACATTATTCTGAGAAGGGGTCCATAAGCTTCACCAGATTCTGACAAAGGGGCAAACTAAAGATTAAGAACCCCAGCTCTAGGAGGCTTGGTCCAGGAACTGGATATTGTCCAAGAACTCCTCCACTGCATCCAATGTTCTTGACTTGTTCTCCCCTCCTCCCTCTTGCTGCGCTATTGCTTGGACATATTCCTGTAACTCCCAGACTAGACCAGGAATTCCTAGCCCATCAACCATTGCCACTTCTGGGGCCATGTGGTTCACTTCTCTCAAGACCATGTGACTCCTTGGAGGTGCTTTGAAGAAGGTTCACTCCAATGAACCAAGTCTGAGCCTCAGGATTTAGCCCTTCTCCCATCTGTGCTTCTCATCTCTGGTTCTTCCCAGCTCTCTAGCTCCCCTTTTAAAAAAACTTAATCCAAGGGTGTAGCCCATGTCCTCTGAAAATGGTTGGGAATCAGTTAACCATTTGTAATATAGCATCAAAGGGCCAGTACATATCAAGGCAAGGGAAGTTCACTGCCCATCAAGAGGCAACAAGGTGGATAGAGTGTTGAACCTGGAGTCAAGAAAACCTGAGTTTAAATCCTGCCTCAAACACTTATTAGCTGTGTGACTCTGGGCAAGTCACTTAACTGCTATCTGCCTCAGAATATGGGGATAATAATAGCAACCACCTCCCAGGGTGGTTGTGAAGATCAAAAGCAGTAACGTGTACAATACTTTGTTGTTGTTATTCAGTAGTGTCCAGCTCTTCATGGCCCCATTTAGGATTTTCTTGGCAGATACTGGAGTGGTTTGCCATTTCCTTCTCCAAGTCATTTTACAGATGAGGAAACTGAGGAAAACAGGGTTAATGACTTGCCTAGGGTCATATATCTAGTAAGTGTCTGAGACTAGATTTTAACTCAAGAACACATCTTCCTAACTCCAGGCTCAGTGCTCTATCCACTGTGCAACCTAGCTGCTCAGTACAACACTTAATAAACTCTGAAGTAGTATGTAAATGCTAACAATGAGTAAGAAAGTATCATAGATAAGAGAACAAATACCTAAGTTAAAAAGGAGGTAACCTTGACCCAGGTACTCTTGAACACATCCTCTCTAACAATAACGAGCATTTATTGAGAACCAAATGTGTGCAAAGAAGTGTGTTAGGATGTTGCAGAGACATTGTGACACTTTAGTATCCTTTAAAATATAACCTTCTTGACAGCAGGAACTTTTTCATTTTTTTTTTAAGGTCCAGCACCTAGCATAGTTTTTCATAAAAGTTGAATTGAATTGAATTGAACTTCAAGCATACAAGGTAGTGAGTTCTCCATTACTAGAAGCTTTCAAGCAAAGGCTTGATGAACAACCATTAAGAGGTCATAGAAAGAACTCCTGTTCAGGGACAGCTTGGACCAATTGACTTCAACTCAGATTATTTGGAACATCATTAAGATAGAAATGAACTAATGATTCAGGGTTCTGGGGTTTATAGCTCAGGGAAGTGGGCTTTAAATAGAATAATTACCTAGACCTTTACCTAAACATTTGCTTTTCCCCCACAGACAACCTCACATCGATGCTACCACCCACCCAGGTGAATCAATCAATTTCCTCAGCTGCTCTTTGTCTTCCCTCCTCAACCTCTACCTTTCTCTTTCTGTCTCCTCCTGCTCTTTTTCTCCTCTTCTTTTCTCTTCTCTCTCTCTCTCTCTCTCTCTCTCTCTCTCTCTCTCTCTCTCTCTCTCTCTCTCTCTCTCTCTCTCTCTCTCTCTCTCTCTCTCTCTCTCTCTCTCTCTCTCTCTCTCTCTCTCTCTCTCTCTCTCTCCCCCCCCCCTTGCTCTCGCTCTCACTCTTGCTCTAACTCTCTCTCTTTCTCTCCCAAACCCACTCTTCCTCCTAGACCTTTATCCATCTTCATCCAAGTACTTTCTCTCTCAGGATTTCTCTGTTGTGTACTCTGAAGTGAAGGCAGAACAACCTCTGGAGGAGAGAGTCAGGATGACTGAGGCTACAGATGGGACACAGAAAGACGACATAGACAACTATGAGAATGTCCAGCTTCATTCCTGAGCCTGACAGTGTGTACTCCCTAGGGAAGCCAAGAGCTTCTCATCACTCTGTACAGATGTGGAAATGGAAGGAAAGACAGTAGGGCAAGGAGACTCTTGGACTCCTGAAAAATGAGGGCCCAAGTTAGAGTTTTTCCTCCCAGGTCTCTGCTGCCATTTAGACAACACAGAGACAACACTGAGCTTCCTTCTCTCACTTTGATGAAATAAATCTTCTCTCTCTCTCTTTGTATTTATTTCATTTTATTATTTATCACCAAAAATAATCATTCACATTTTTATAGAACTTAAAGATTTTATAAGGTACTCTCCTCAAAATAGTCATGAGTTAGGTTGTACATTCGTTATTATCCCTATTTTTCAGAGAGCTCAGAACTAGGATTCAGACCCAGATCTCCAGGTACTATTTTCTTTTTCTTTTTCCCCCCCAATAATAACTAGTATTTATACAGTTTTTTAAGATTTTCATAGTGCTTTAAATATGTCATCACCTTTGGTCCTCATAACAACCCTGGGAAGTAGGTACTATTATTGTCCCCATCTTGCAGATGAAGAAACTGAGGCTAGGAGAGACTAAGTGATCTACCTAGAGTCCCATAGCTAGTGTCTAAGGCAGAGTTTGAACTCAGGTGTCCCTGACTCCAAGTCCAGCAATCTACCTACTATACCACCTAGCTACTTAGGCATATTACTAATGCTTTTTATTTTTGTCTTTTGCACCAGCTAGGCAGCTGGGTGGCAAAGTGGATAGAGTGCTAGGCATGAAGTCAGGAAGATCTGAGTTCAAATATGGCATCAGACATTTACTAGCTGTGTGACCCTGGGCAAGTCACTTAACCTCTGTTTGCCTCAGTTTCCTCAACTCTAAAATGGGGATAATAAAATGGGGTACCCACCTTGCAGGGTCATTGTGAGCATCTAGTGAGATAATATTCGCAAAGCGCTTAGCACAGTGCCCAGTGCTATATAAATGTTTATTTCCTTCCCTTCCCTCTACCTTTTGTTGTTGTTCAGTCATGTCCAACTCTTTGTGATCCCATGGACTTATCCATGGATTTTCTTGACAAAGATACTGGAGTGGTTTGCAATTTCCTTCTCCAATGTGTCCCTATTTTATAGATAAGGAACTAAGGCAAAAAGAGGTTGAATGACTTGTCCTGGGTCACACAGCTAGAGTCTGAGCTCATATTTGAAATCACATCTTGGAAATTCTAAGCCAAGTCAGTGCTCTATCCACTCCACCACCTAGTTCCATATGCAAAGATCTAAGGCCTTACTAATGAATACAGCTATGTATAAATTGCATATGCATATATGGAATAGACAGCAATCAGTACTGTTTCATCCACACTCCTCAGGGCAATGAAAGCTAGCATTTGCAGGTACAAAATGCTAAGAAGCAAAACCAGGTATATACAGATAACAAAACAAGGTATAGAACTACAGAGATCAGACATTGTAAAAAGCATTTCAACAGTTAAAGATCTGATACCCCTGCCACAACTGATTAGATACAAGAAGTGATGGAGGGGAAGATTTTTTTTTAAGTTTCAAACATGGAAGAGTAAGTGAGCAGTAATGCCGTAGAGAGAAACAGTGAAAGAAGGAAAGGGAAACTTTATAAGGAAATAATATTTCAAATCTCTTTTTAAGGTTTTAAGCTTTTAAGGTTTGTAAAGTACATTTCACACTAAAATCTTGTAAAAGTATTATTATCCCCATTTTACTCATGAAGACTGTGAGACTCCTAGAAGGGAAATGATTGTTGTGTGAAAGCTAAGATCCAGCTCAGGTGTCTAGACCCCAAGTCCACTTCTCTTTCCATGACACAACTCTCAATCAGTAAGCTCAGTTCTGAACATGTGAGCAAGTTGAGTCTGAGATGCTGATAGGGAGATGTTCTGTAAGCAGGTGGAGATACAGGCCTGGAACATCAAGAGTGGCAGCACTGGCCATAAGGATATGAAAGTTCTGTGGAGGAGTATGACTTCAAGTCATGAAAGTGAATGAGATTCCCAGGAGAGGATGGAACCTTGGGGGATATGCCATCTTAAAAGGGGAAGGAAAGATGATGAAATAGGGAAGGAGCAATAAGAAAAAGAGAGAATTCACAATATCCCATAAAAAATCAATAAAATTCTCCTACCTTTTGGTGATCGTGACTTTCTCTCATGCTCCAAAAGTCGTCCAGATTCCATGCCATCCTAGGGTTTCCCTTTAGAAAGGAACTATATTTAGACCTATTAGACAGACAATATTCCATCATTCCAATGACACTTTGTTTCACCACCATCCCCTTGAGATAATAATAATAGTGCTTACTCTGAACCAAACACTGTGCTAAGTGGCTTCGATTTATGTCTCATTTGATCCTCACAATAACCCTGAGACATAGGTGCTATTATTATCCCCATTTTAAAGTGAGGAAACTGATTCAAACAAAGGTCAAGTGATTTGTTCAGAGGCATATGGCTAGTAAGTCTCTGAGCCCAGATTTGAACTTAGGTCTTCCTAATCCCAAGCCCAGCATTCTATCCATTACACCACCTACCTGCTTTTATGAAACTACTCTAAAGGCTTAGAATCCCCTAGAGAGGAAATGCACTTGGGCAAACTCACTCGGAGTTGCTAGACAATCTACTCTTCTTCCTGTTGCATGCCTACTGTCTGAATAACTCATAAAAGCATACTTTAAAATCCAGGTCTTTTACACCATCACATTTTGGCTTTAGTACCAGAGTACCCCTCAACACTAAGGGTACATGATGCTCCTGTCACCAAGGGACATGTAGGTAGATAGCTAGATAAATAGAGTATTTATTAAAGCATTTGCTAGCCAGGCTCTGTGCTAAGAGCTAGGAATACAAGTACAAGCAGAAAGAAAAACAAAGAGCTTAGATTCTAATATGGAAGACTACACATAAAAGGGAGCTGAAAAGCAGGGTGAGGAGAGAACTTAGCAGTGTGAGAGCAAGGCAGAGAAGCCTGAAGAGTCAAGAACAGAGCAGAAAGAGAAATGGGCATGACTAGCTCAGTCATTTCCTCAAAGCAGGCTCTGGGGAGGAACTCAACAACCAAAGGAGAGGGTAGAGGGATGGAGGGGTGGAGGGGTCAAGGCTGCTGGAGTAAAGATAGAGAAGTTACATGGCTCTGAATTTTAGACCTAATTCCTGATCCAAAGCTGAGTCACTTCTGAGAGACACCTTACTTCTGGCTCATAGTGATTAACCAAATTCTGATTTCATCTAGCTAAGTCATAACCAGGCCAACAACCCAACCCATTTGTCCAACAATCCAAAATAGTTCTGGAATTCAGCATTCTTCAGCTTCCTTTTCCAAGCTTATCTGTTGGTCATATGAAAATCAGATACTGGAAAATGGGACACTAACTAAAAATACAGCTGTCTTTAATCTTATTATTTTGTTTTGTGGCTTTTTCTTTTTTTGGCTAGGTAATCAGGGTTAAGTGACTTGCCAAGGGTCACATAGCTAGTAAGTGTCTAAGGCTAGATTTGAACTCAGGTCCTCCTGACTCCAGGGACAGTGCTCTATCCATTGCACCACCTAGTTGCCCCCAATTGCCTGCTTTCTTAGTGCTTCTTATATATGCAAGTCTCACTTTTCTTTTTGACTCTGCAATTAACAAAAGTGTGAAAATATGATTAGAGCACCCCCCCTTTACATATAGATTAGCACAAAAGAGTGGCTATTCCTATGAGTCCATCCACATTTGGCACACTCATCAAATTTACAGATAAAACAAAACTGAGAGAAAGAGCTAACACACTGGATGATAGAATCAGCAACCAACAATAACTTCATAGGTTGACATTGGACTGTATCTACTAAAATGAAATTCATTAGGTAATACATGTAAAGTCTTAACTTAGATAATCATTCAGTCAGTAATTTGATCATCCTGATCTGTATCTTGCCACTGGACCCAGATGGCTCTGGAGGAGAAAGTGAGGCTGGTGACTTTGCACAGCCCTCCCTCACTTACATGCAATTTTCTTGCATGTCACAGCATCACCTTCCTGATGTCAAGGACCTCTTCAAGAACAAAGGGACAAACAACAACCTATAAGTAGTAGGAGCTGCCCCACTGGGGACCCAACTGGACAGTTCGAGTTGGGCAATGTACTCCCTCCCTCCTTCCTCTTTCTCTCCCTCCTCCTTTCCCTCCCTCTTTCCACATAAGAAACCTTTCCCTGCAAGTGCTCTGCCCAAAGGAATATAAATTTTGATTGCTGAAACCTCTCAAAATATCTTGAGGTTTACTGGCTAGACTTCTTTTTTAAGGACCATGCCTTAAACCCAAATCTCTCTGGCTCTCATTGATTGGCCAATAACAGGTCCCAGCCCAAGCTTCGCTTGAGTATTGTTTGGGCTATGATGGCTCAAAATGAGTGTAAATAGCAATTGTTTCTGCTTTGGCCAGAAACTATGAGCGTCTTTCCCACCCAGATCGATTTTGGTTTTGTTTTTTTGACTAGGTAAAAGAGGCCATTCTTTGCCTCATTTCTTATCTAGCCTTAATTACTGAATGGGCACTGCCTCAGTCAAACTGAGACCTGGGGGAAAAGTTTAAAAAGGCCAAGGTCTCCCACTGCAACTGGGGCCATCTCCAGTGGTCCTGATCTATACCTTGCCACTGGACCCGGATAGTTCCAGAGGAGAGAGTGAGGCTGGTAACTTTGCACAGCCCTCCCTCACTCAAATCCAATTCACTTGCATATCATGGTATCACCTTCCTGATGTCATGGTCCTCTTGGAGAACAAAGGACAAACCACCTTCCTTAGGGAGATGCTTTTTTAAGTGCCAAAACCACCACTTGCAAATTTCATCAAACTGATCTAGCAATTCACAAGATCAAAACCTAGGTGATTAGTGACCAAAGCTCAAACTGGCTTTTCCTGGTGAAAAAGAAATATTCGGTAAGGGGAGGAATATCGCGACAAACTTAAAAACCTGGAGCAAAAGAGAAACATGAGAATAACCATGATCAGAGAAGCATCTATATACCTTGTCATTTTGCAACCTAAACTCTGTTTAATTTTGTCTTATTTTTCTACTTTTTCCACCATTTTAGCTAAAGGTCATATTCTATTGTAATTTGCCCCATACGATTAGATCAGAGGAGGTGGAAGTGGTGATCTGCTCCATGCCATTAGAGTCTGGGGAAGTCCCAGATACCTCAGGTCTGAGCTTGTAGCAGCCCAAGTGTGATTCTGACCCTTTAGAATTTAGGGGATTCTATATCCATCTGGAAACAATTGCTCCATAGTGGGAAAAGGTCTCACAGTTGGTGATATGGTTCCCCTTGGTGGGCAGATAGGGATGAGAAAGGATCAGGGAGGAAAGAGAAAATATAATTGTTTAGAGCTATAACTCACTTTTATTTTACACAGAAAAATCTCAACAAAGGCAAGTCAGTCCCTTACAATATGCCAACCTACCAATCTGATTACAATGCAATTTCCTTAAAATGAACCAATATTATAAGTATAATGGTCTCTCTTCTACAGAGAATTCTATTTTATGGAGAGTTCAAGTATTTGTCCTTCCCTGGTGAGTAGGTTAGCCCATAGAAAGAGGATTTCTCTCTAGTCATGGAGGTCTGAAAGGGCCCAGTCATAAGTAAAAGTGTTCCCAAAATGTCCAAATATAGAATAGAATGATTTGGTAGGTAGGAAGTTCCCATTATCTAAATATGTTTGAGCAACATCGAGATGAGCCCCTATTGGATATATCACTGAGGATATTTTTGTTCAAGCATGAGAAGGGTCCTTTCTAGTTTATGAGATTCTATGAAATTGGAGGAAGTGGTCACAGAAACACATCTCACATTTTCTGTAGGTCTGGGCATAAGTGACATTTCCTTCTACCCTGAAATGACCAACAAAACTCTCGCATTTCCTGTCTTGATCATCCATTTCCCCGCTTAGCCTGTGTACCCAATCAGCCCCATGTTGATTATACTCTCCTGATTATACAGAGTTGGAAGAAGTGCTCAGGGCTCAGGATGAGGAGAATTCTCCAGCTTTTTCTCCTGTTTCTTCAATCCCAAAAAGGTGAGTGAATCAGCCAAATCTGGTCCCAGGTCCTTAGTCCCCAAATGTCTCATCTTCTTGTGTCCTGTTCTGATTTAGAACAATGGGCAGAGGAAAAAGAGAATTCAAAAAACAATGGTTGAATCTGACAAACATTCTGAACCTGACTTTAAAGAGGCAAGGTGTGTCAAGCGGTAGAAAAAAAATCTGGACTGCAAAAAAAGAAAAATTAAAAAAAAAAAAGCTGGACTGCAAGGCATTGTGGAAGAGAGGGAACTAGTGGGGAACTAGTAGAAGACAGATGTTACATAAAGGCAACATTTTATTGACGTTTGGCAAAGAAGGAGATGACTGAGATGGGACAGGAAATAGAGAGGATAGAAAGATCAAATGAAAGCTTTTTTAAGAATTGAAAAGACCTAGGGGCAGCTAGGTGTCGCAGTGGATAGAGCACCAGCCCTGGCTTCAGGAGGACCTGAATTCAAATCCAGCCTCAGACACATAATACTTACTAGCTGTGTGACCCTGGGCAAGTCACTTAACCCCATTGCCCAACCAAAAACTATTAAAAAAAAAGAAGAAGAAGAAGAAGAATTGAAAAGACCTGAGTATGAGGTACTGTGGACTCCAGGCCAGGCCTGGACTCAAAAAGACTCATCTTCCTGAGTTCAAATCTCACCTAAGACACTCACTAGCTGTGTGACCATGAGAAAGTTATTTGACCTGTTTGCCTCAGTATTCTCATCTGTATAATGAGCTGGAGAAGGACATGGCAAACTCCCCCAGTATCTTTGCCAAGAAAATCCCAAGTAGGGTTACAAAGAGTCTGACTGGACTGAAAAATTGTTGAACAAGAAGAAGAAGAAAAGGGAGAGTCTGAATATATGCATGTGTGTGTGTGTGTACATACATACATACAGATATACATATCTGTATGTATGTATATATGACAAAGAAGATAATCTATAAGATCATAGAATTTGGAGTTAGAAGGTCTTTAAAGCCTCCTCTACTCTAGTCTCCTCAATGAGGAAATCAAGTTGACAAGAGAATAAATGACTTACTCAGGGTCGCCCTGAAGCCATTGGGATGCAAATTCAGGTCCTCCCACTCCAAATCCTGTGCTTTTCATCACACTGTACCAACTTCAATGACCTATGTGCTTCTCTAGCCAGATAGAACAGCATCTCTCACCTTTCCTGGGTATAGAAATTCTTCCCTATTCTCCCTTCCTCTTTCTCCCTTATTCCTTTTCCCTTCTGCCTTTTTTTCCTTTTTCTTTCTTCCCCCTTCACCCTTCCTTCTTCTTCCTTCCCTTTCTTTCTTCCCCTCTTCCATGGAGCATTCTCTTCACTTTTCAATGTATCCTGGGATTTGGGGGACAGAAAGAGCTACTTAAGAGAGCTCTGAATTCTCAGGCCTTCAATGTATCTTACCTTTCCTAGAAGTCTACCTCTTCTGACTCCACTGCTGGGACTGTGGGGTTGGCAGTAAGCAAGGTGGGACAGGCTAGGTAGATGAGCACATGGCATCTCTGATGGGCCCCAGCACCCAGGACCAGCTTGTAGGGCTGCTATCCCAAAAGGTCTGATTTTTCCACTTTTACTGGGATATACTGGGGAGGAAATGACTGTAACATATACTATACAGCATCAACTGTGTATAAACCCATGTTAGAGCTATTGTTGTTGTGGTTCATTTCTATCCAACTCTTCATGACCTCATGGACCATAGTTCCTCAATACCATCCTTGGGGTTTTCTTGGCAAAGATACTGGAGTGCCATTTCCTTTTCCAATGGATTAAGGCAAACAGAGGTTAAGTGACTTGCCCAGAGTCACATAGCTAGCAAATATCTGAGAAGGGATCTGAACTCAGGTCTTCCTGATTCCAGGCCCAGTGCTCTATTCACTGAGCCACCTAGTAAATCACTTATGATAATCAACACAGCAGACTGGCCCTTTCTGGGCTGAACTCTTTGCTAGATATAAAAATGGCTAAAAAGGAAAAAAAAGGTTTATAGTAACTTTACTAAGATTAATCATATATTAGGGCATAAAAATTTTATAGTTAAAAGCAGAAATATTGAAAGCATCCTTTTCAGATCACAATACAATAAAAATTACATTTAATAAGGTACCACAGAAACATAGAATAAAAGCTAATTGGAAACTAACCAATCTAATCTTAAAGAATGAATGGCTAAAGAACAAATCATAGAAGCAATCAATAATTTCATTAAAGAGAATGACAATATTGAGACAACATATTAAAACCTATAGGATACAGCAAAAGCAGTAATCAGAGAAAAATGTATATTTCTAAATGCTTACATCAATAAAATAGAGAAACAGCAGACTGATGAATTGGGTATGCAATTTAAAAAAAAAACTAGAAAAAGAACAAACTGAAAATCCCCAATTAAACATTTAGTTGGAAATTCTAAAAAGTAAAGGTGAAATTAACAAAATTGAGAAAACCATTGAATTAATAAGTAAAAACTAGGAGTTGGTTTTCTGGAAAAAAAACCAATAAAATAAACCATCAGTTAATATGATTTTTAAAAAAGAGAAAACCAAATCACTAGTATTAAAAATGAAAAGGGTGAATATATCACTAATGAAAATGAAATCAAAGCAATCATAAGGAGTTATTTTGCCAAGATATATGCCAATAAGTTTAACAATTTAAGTGATATGGAAGAATGTTTACAAAAATATATACTGCCTAGGTTAGCAAAAGATGACATAGAATATCCAAATAGAACTGTTTCAGAAAAAGAAATTGAACAGGCCACAAATGAGATTCCTAAGAAAAAAGCACCAGGACCAAACAGATTCATAAGTAAATTCTATCAAATATTTAAATACCAACTAATTCTAATATTAAATAAATTATTTGGAATAATGGTCAAAGAAGGGGTCCTACCAAATTCCTTTTATGAAACAAATACTATACTGATACCTAAACCAGGAAGAGTAAAAAGAGTAAAAACAGAGAAAGAAAATTATAGACCAATTTCATTAATGAATATGGATTCAAAAGTCCTAAATAAGACACTAGCTAGGAGATTACAACAATATATTACAAAGATTATACATTATGAATGAGTAGAATTTATACTAGGAATGCAGGGATGGTTTAACATAAGGAAAACTATTAACATAATTGCCTATATCAACAATACAAGCAACAAAAATCATATGATTCCATCAATAGATTCACAAAAGCTTCTGATAAAGTACAACACTCATTTCTATTAAAAACACTTAAAAGTATAAGAATAAAGGGATTTTTCCTTAAATTGATTTTTTAAAAAACATTTACCTAAAACCATCACCAACCGTTATTGTTATGAGGATAAGCTAGAAGCCTTCCTAGTAAGATCAGGCACGAAACAAGTACACCCACTGTCACCAATATTATTCGATATTGTGTTGGAAATCCTAGCAATAGCAGTAAGAGAAGGAAAAAGAAATCGAAGGAACCAGAATGGGAAATGAGATAATAAAGCTATTTCTTTTTGCAGATGATATGATGATACACCTAGGAAATCCCAATGACTCAACTAAAAAGTTAAGTGAAACAATAATTTTAGTTAAGTAGCAGGATATAAAGTAAATCCACATCAATCATCAGCATTCCTATATATCACCAACAAAACCTTGCAAAAAGAGATGTTAAGAGATACTCCATTTAAAATAACTCTAGACAGTATAAAATCCCTGGGAGTATACCTGCCAAAACAGACCAAAATGAACAAAATTATAAAAAAAACCTTTTTAGACAAATAAAATCATACTTAAATAATTGGAGAAATATTAACTGTTCATGGATAAGAAGGGCCAGTATAATAAAAATGCCAATTTTACCTAAACTAATTTATATATTCAATGCCATCCAATTAAATTAACAAAAAATTATTTTACTGAGTTAGAAAAATAATAACAAAATTCCTTTGGAAAAACAAAAAGTTCAAGAATATCAAAGGAACAATAAAAAAAATAAAGGAAGGCAGTTTAGCAGTACCAAATCTTAAGCTATATTATAGGGGCAGCTAGGTGGTGCAGTGGATAGAGTACTGGCCCTGGAGTCAGGAGGGCCTGAGTTCAAATCTGGCCTCAGACCAAACACTTGATACTTACTAACTGTGTGACCCTGGGCAAGGCACTTAACTCCAATTGCCTAAAACAAACAAACAAAAAAAAAACTAAAGAAACTAAAAATTAAAAAAAAAATAAACTGTATTATAAAGTAGTAATTATCAAAATTATCTGATACTGACTAAGAAATAGAAAGGAATATCAATGGAACAGAGCAGACATACAATTTACAGCAGCAAACGACTATAGTAACCTCATGTTTGACAAGTGTAAAAATTTGGGTTTTGGGGATAAGAATTCATTATTTGGTAAAAATTGTTGGGAAATCTAGAAAGAAATTTGGCAGAAATTGGGCATAGACAAAAATCTTACACCATTTGCCAATTTAAGGTCAAATATATGACATAGATATAAAAAAGATATTACAAGAAAATTTGAAGAACATGGAACATATTACCTATTAGACTTATGGAAGGGCAAACAATTTATAAATAAACAAGAGATAGAGAGCAGCGAGAAGCATAAAATGGATAATTTTGATTACATTGAATTAAAAAGGTTTTGTACAAATAAAAGCAATATAGGCAAGATTAAAAAGTAAGCAGAAAATGGGAGGGGTGGACTTTTATGGACAGTTCCTCAAATAAAGGTCTCATATCTCAAATATAGAAAGAATTTTGTCAAATCATAAGAATATAAGTCATTCTCAAATTGATAAATGGTCAAAGGATATGAGCAGGCAGTTTTCTGATGAAGCAATCAAAATAAATTATAGTCATAAATCATTATTGATTAGAGAATTGCAAATTAAAATTACCTTGAGCCATCAGATTAGCTAAAATGATTGAAGAAGAAAATGACAAATGTTAGAGGGGATGTGGAAAAATTGGGACCCTAATTTACTGTTGGTGAAACTGTG